ATACATGGTTGTTGCAACATTACTGACTGTATTCCCTGTGCTGTGCTTTACATCCTCATGACTGTTTTGTCACTACCAGTTTGTATTTCTTAATCCCGTCACCTTTTTCACCCAGCCTCAAGTGTTTTATTTTTTATCACTAAAACAATCTATAATCCAAAAATATTGTTTCCGGGAGGTGTCAGTTGCCAGGGTCTGTAACTGGCAGAATCCAACAGTTTCTCTTTAGCTTGAATTCTCTTATATGCTCTTGGAGAGAAAAGGTTGAAGGAATGGGAAAAATGTAAAGGATACCCTTATATGAAGTTCAGTGTTTCTTAACTGCCACGGGAACCATAGAGGTATGTTTTCTGTAGTCATGTAGTCATTTAGCAATTCCTTGTTAAATCTTAAGTAATATCATCTATTTAAGAAAGGGAATGCAACTTAATCATGTTATAATCATACAGGGTTCCTTAGCCTTTCCTGGTTTAGTCTTCATTTTCGTCCTGTTTGCTTCCATTTAAAAAGCAGTACCGTGAGTGTTGGAGGATTTATAGAAGTTAGGCTGACTTTTATGCAGCTAGCTTCCTATAGACTTTCACACTAATGCTAATGGTTCTTGAACTTGATACTCAGAAAAGAAAAAGAGGTGGAATGTTTTCTGCATGTAGTTCTCCTAACTTTAAAAAAAATATATAGCTCTCAATGCAGAATTTAAAAAAACAGCAGTAAAAAACAAAAACTAACTGCAGTTAGTGAGAGCTTTGTATGCATTTCATTAGACGCTTAACAGTTTTTATATAAATGAAGTGTCGAATGTAGGGCATGCGATAATACATCTTTACTAAAGGGTTTTAATGTCTCTGGTTAATTATCAACATTTTATGAGCATTTAGACAAATAATTGCAATGTACCACCCATATAGAAATGCAAACAAAACCCAGAATGGGTGGGGGGCAGATATGCCTCTTTTTTGATAGGGTTTTTGTTTGTTTGGTTTGGTAAGTATCTTCTGCAGTCATGTGTTCATTTACAAATGATTTACAGTTTGCAAATAGAGACTTGTAAAACGTGTTTGGGTTGCTGACGTAGATAAATCAATAAATAAGTACTTCCGTAGTTGGTAAGCATATGAAAATACAGAGCAGATTATTACAATTTTACATACTCATGAAAGCTTTGAACACATACCTTGTGTTGTAAGAGTTTGGGATAGTCAATCCAAATATACTGCTATGGTCTGGATATTTGTGTTCCCCCCCCACCCTGAACCCTGCCCCAAATTCATATATTGAAATCCTGACCCCCAAACATGGTAGCATTAGTTGGTGGGGCCTTTGGGAAGTGAGTAGATCTTGAGGGTGGAGCCCTCACTAATTGGGTTAGTGCCCTTGTAAAAGAGATCCTGCAGAGCTCCCCAGCCCCTTGTGATGTAAAGTCTGCAGTGTGGAAGAGGGCCCTCGCTGGTACCCTCTTCCTATGCTGGTACCCTGACCTCAGACTTTCAGCCTCCAGAACTGTGGGCAATAGATTTTGATGTTTTTAAGGCCACCCAGTCTGTAATATTTTATAACAGCAATGGAAAAAGACTAAGACACATACTCAGTACTGGTTCATTTATAATATTGATGCTCATTGCTTTTAGACATTTGCTTGAATGTCCAAATTTTCAAGAATGTCCAAGAATTTTCTTGAAGTCAGTATGTTTCCATGCTGTTAACCTAGGAACGTCCAAACCTGTAAAGAATTTTTATAAGATTTAATTTGAGCCAAACTGACAATAATTGCCAAGAAGCAAGATCCCGAATGCTCTGGTGAATGACAGTTTTGCAGTTTCTTTTACTCATTTGAAATTAAGGAGGGAAAGTAAGGAAGATTACATGGAGATGGGAGAAAGCAAGGTGAGGATTGGAGTACAGGATAGTTAACAGGATTATGTGCCCCCTTGAGGATGGCTAAGTGTGTTAACCTTAATAATGGCACAGAAATAATGAACAGGGCTTGCTTAAGGCAAAGATAAACGTTTTACTAAAGAAGTTACATCCCTGGGGCTTGACTACCCACCATGACCTGCCCAGTTCGGAATTTATGGTCAGATCACCCTGGGAGATTGTTTTCCATAGAACCCCCTTTTCATCCACAATGCTGTAATACTAGGGTTGTCAATTTAGAAAATTCTTTATTCCAATATTCTGATTAAACTGGTAAGATGAGGGACCTATAACTGATGAGATACTAGCTGAATGGAAAGCACATGTAAGAATATGAATGTCTCTATTACTGTCACTGTTTTATTTAGTAGACATTTAATGAGCGTATACTGTATGGTGGGCACGTGTTAGGTATGGGACACGTGGAGAGGGAAAAATGTTTGTGTTTCCTGTCCTCTTGGGGCTCACATTCCAATGGGGGAAGGAGTGATCCATTTATTTCTTTACTTTTGAATTTAAAAATATTTTTGGTTTTTATTTTATTAGTTTTAAATGAAGTGTATTAGGGTAACATTGGTTAATAACATTATGTAAATTTCAGGTGTACAACTTTATAGTATGACACCTGTATACTCCATTGTGTGCTCAGCAGCTGAAGGCTAGAGGAGACATCCATTTAAATTGCAACTGTAAAGGAGGGGGACATGATACTATGAGAGCCGATAATTGACCTGCTGATGGATCTCAGAGAAGGCTTCCCTGAGGAAGAGAGAATTGACCTAGAGCCGAAGAAGCATGAGAGTTAAATTGGGCGTGGAGGGGCAGGGATAGGAGTGGGGGAACAGGCTATGCAAAGGCCTTGTAGAGGGAGGGAACACGGCATCTTTAAGGAACAGAAAGAAGGCATTAGCTGGAGTGCCGCGAGCAAGGTCCAAGTTTAGGGGTCAGGCCGTGAGTTTGGTCGGAGATGCCTTTGAAATGCTGGGTCGTACCGACAAGTAGGCAGTTGGCTGTACATGTCAGGAGGTCAGAGAGGAGATCTGGGATGGCTATTTAAGCTTGAGATGGTTCTGCGTGTAAGTGGTAACTGAAGCCACAGGTACAGGTGAAATCACACAGGAGACAAGTAGAGAGAAGACGGTCTGGGACCAAGCCTTTAGGGAATTCTGTTCTTTAGTGGCGGGCAGAGGAAGTAGTATGGTGTCATGGAGGCACAGGGCAGAAAGTGCTCCAGGAGAAAATGGTCAGTAGTGCCCCATGTTGCGAGAGGTGAGGTAACGTGAAGACCACACAGAGAGGTCATTGCTGACTTGAGCAGTAGCTATTTCAGGGGAGTGATGAAGGTGGGGACAAGAATGCAGCGGGCCGAAGAGGGAGAGAGGTGAGCAATGATGACAGTATGGACAACCCACAAGAACTTTGTCCTTAAAGAGGGTGGGCAGGAGAGGGCACAAGACAGCAAACTATACTCTTGAAGAAGAAGACATGGCTCTGTTGATTTTTGTTTTTACTGGGAACTTAAGACTCTCTAAAAGCTAATAGAAAATCTAGGTCAGGAGACAATAAAGGATAATGGGGAGCAAAAGATTCCCAAGGGAGCCAACAACGATGGGTGAGATGTTGGCTGAGTGGGACGGCAGGTGCGTGAAGGTGCAGGTGGTCTGTGGCTCACAGTGTGATATTGGAAGTTTTCATGTGTTGGCTTCTACTTTTTTTGTGAAGTGGGGTTCTATGGAGAATGGGGGTGGATGGTTGGAGGTTCACAAAGAGTAGGGAGAATTCGGAAAATTAAGTGTGGCGTGTGAAAGGACTGGTTGGCCAGGGCAAGGATGTAGGAGTACAGGGCAGTGTTGAGGGCTGTGTGATTCCCTCTGTAATTTCACACTCGCCAAACTCCCTCTTCTGGTACATGACTTTTTCCAACAGTGCTCTGATTGTTCAGGGCTTATTGCTGAGTAAATAGTTGGTCATATCCGGGGTTGGTGTTTTCCAGCTCTTGGCAGTGGTAAAGGGAATGTAGGGTGTTAGTAAGAGTGTTTGAAATGATGGCCTCTAGGTTTTAAGCTGATTAAAGAGGGGAGTAAAAAAAGAGGAAAGGGCTAATGAATTGGGGAAAAGCTGAGGAGTCAATGGACTTGAGAATGCTGTAATACTGAGCACACTTGAAGGAAAGGTCAACAAAGGGAATACTTGAAACGTTATTTTGGAGGCAGAAAAAATGATGAGTGAGGGACAGTAAAGGTCCATGGGTGGTTGAGGTGGCATGGAAGAGGTGCCATTCCGGGTCAAGGTAAAAGGACTGAGTTGTTAAGGAAACCTGGGCCTTCCACATAGATAGGAAGTCACTCAGGATTATGGAAGGGCTTGAAGACATCAGTGAACCAGGTCCAAAGTCTTTGGGTGGGAGGATGTGTTTGGGAAGTTGGAATATGATACCAGTGAGGAGCGGGAGAGGGTGGTATAACTGAATAGCAGGGCACAAACATTACGGGGGGTGAGGGAATGGAGGAGTAAGGCCCGAAGGGGACCCTGAGGAACCAAGAGGATACAGGACCACCTCCTGACTCGCAAGTGTGAGGGACTAGGCAGCCACTGCCTGAGAGGGTTGCAGAAGAGGGGTGTCTTCAGAGCACACAGGGGAGAGACCAAGGATGGAGCACTGTTACTGGGTGTGGAACAGCAGTTCCAGGGGACCTAGTCGAAGGATTTGGAGGTGGAGGGGGTGATGGGCTGGGTCCAATGGCTGGGAAGGAACTTGAGAGGATTACAGGGATGGCTCTGTGGTAGAGGATAGATTTCTGCAATGGGGGCTGCCAATATTTTGAATGTTGACTAATGTAAACAGAGATTAGTTAGGGGCTTAGGGCCTAGTGGCCAGAGAATGGTTTTATTCCCCTTGGTTAAAGTGATAACAGATGCAGAAATCACATACCCTGTGTGCTGCTGGAGATGGATGATGGTGGAAGCAGAAACTTACTGAGTGCACAGCCTATGATAATTACTGTTCTAAGTGCCCAACACATTATGTAGGTTATTCCCTGTGAGCACCCTGTCATGTTAGTACTGTTGTTATCTCCATTCTGCAGGTGAGAAAGCAGGTTCAGTTAAGGTAACTTATTAGTCCCAGGACACACAGCCAGCAAGTGGTGGAACTGAGATTCAAACTCAAGACTCTGACTAAGCCTGTGTACTTCCCACCATGCTATAGGTACTTAATGTTTTCTTACTTGTGAAATTTTGATTTGTTTAAAAGCATAAATGACAGACTGTTGAGAAAAAATAAATGTAATATTTAAGACAAAATCACCTCTTGAGATACCAAAATTAAGGTCAGTCCTAGAATCCCAGAGCCTTACTCTGAAGCTTAGATCAGCACGCACTCCCTCTGCAGACCAACCCTTCTAGTGTTCCTTTTACCACTTCTGTGATAGATGCTGGACACTTGTAAATTATTAGGAGGGTCTTCCTTAAATTAAGCTAAACTCTTTCCTCCCTGTAATGTTTGCCCATTTGTGCCATTTTTGGGAATGCAGAGTTAAGCTCTGTCTTTCACTTTTCCATGACAGTTCTTTAGATGTTAGGAGAATGCTCTCAAGCCCTCTAGGTAATCTTGTTCCCAAGCTAATATTACAATATGATATGGCTTCTAAAAATCACCATCTTAGTTACAATACTCTAAAGGTACTTTGGTATATGATTAATTTAGAGGAAAGTGGGACTGATATGTGTCTTGATCCAAAGGTACTTCCACACTCTCCAACTGAATGTGACTGAAGATTGTTTTTTGTTATAATAGTATCTTCATTGAATTATTATCTCTCATTGCTTTGAATAACTTACAATGCTGAGGTTTCCCGTGAGTGTGTGTGTGAGTGTGAGTGTGAGTGTGAGTGTGAGTGTGAGTGTGTATGTGTTATGTGGCTATTATGCTAAGTCCTATATTTGGATATTGACTTTTTAAAATTTATTCCCATTAATCTTTCTGATTGGGACTCATTATTTCAGCTAATGCAGATAATTTTGAATCTGATTCTGTTAACCTATTACACTAGCTATCTTTCCCAGCTCTGTTTTATATGTAGATTGAATAAAAATATAAATATTTGTAAAACTATTACTGAAGCAGACCAAAAGCAGAGGACTTTATGGGACAGCAGGAAATACTTCTCAAGTCTACTTCAGATCATTGATCTACATTGCTGCTTTTAATTTCTCAACCAGCTCTGGATTTACCTAATTTTGTTATCCAATCACATTTCTTTGTATTACCCATAAGACTAGCATGAGAAACTTTCAGGACTTCCCTGGAATCGAGTTATCCTTCATCTGGTATTCTTCAGCCCACCAGGATTTGGCAGTGGGGGTGAGGGATGGGAAGGTGTCCAGGGTGACTGAGCTGCTCTGGATTGGAAGATGGGGAAGTGTTGTGGATGATGGTGTCACTCTCTGAGATCCGGAGCCCTGGGGGAAGGACTGGCTTGGGTCATGTAGAGCCTGTAGGGCCTCCAGGATGCCCACATGGAGCCATCCAGAAGATAGCTGACTCTCCAGGACTGTGTGCTGGGGGAGGTGGGGTCTGGTTGCACATGACTGAACTGTGTGGCACATACCCAGGCAGAGCCTGTTCAGAGAAGAGGTTCTGGGTCAGCGTGGCCAGGGGTAGTCAACATTGCCACGTTGAGGGCGTTCGTGCCCGATAGCCTCCATATTTTGATGAAATGGGAAGAGACCTCTATTGTCAGAGAGAGAGAGAACTGGAACTTTGAGAGCTGTGAGTGTTTGCAATCAATGTGGGGAATAGGAAAGGGAGCTTACTAGGGATGGGAAAAGGAGTGCTAAGCATACGTAGGACATTCTTCCCAGCTTTTCACTTTCTTGCTGCCCTTGAAGACAACCAATCACACAAGACCTTTCCCCTTTTTAAAGGTCTTTTACAGCTAAACATGACAACGTGGTTCTCACCTGAAACTATAGAATGTGAAGGGGTACAGTTGTGCATGTGTGTGGCAGTGGCATTAGTGATTGTGACATGTTCCCTAAGGAATCCCTGTCCTTACGAGGGAGTAACAAGCACGGAGAAATGAGAGTCATGGTTGTGTTCCCAGGGTGGTAGTTCTAGACTCAGCTGGTGGAACTGAGTCCTTTGGGCTTCAGCTCAAAAAGATGTCTTCTTGGCTCACCTTGAATACCTTCACTATCTCCTCACTGTGTATCCTCTCTGCTGGGTATTTACTCTCAGGAAAGCAGGGAGTGCCCCTTGACACCCTGAATTGACCACTTTGTATAGTGGTGATCTGTTTCTTTGCTTCCCTACTGGCTCATAAGCATGTCCCTCATTTTATATGCTGAGTCTCTGCATAGCACTTGGTGCATGGTGGATATGTGACAGATGTTGGATGAACTGTTGGTTGAAGGAAGACTGAATTAGGCTGGCTGTGCAGTTTCTGTTGGCCCTGCCTCTGGGAGAGTCCTCCTGCTGGAGGAGGGGGTCTCATAAGCCGATGGTGGAGAGTTATACTTCAGACCTTTTTATGTTCTTTTTTACTAAGAAACCAGCTTGAATTCAAGTCTATGGAAACAGTCTTGGGGGATGTTCAAACATCGTTATATTCAAAAGGTCCCTGGAAGAGTTTCTTTGGTGTCCACAATTCTTTTAAAACAAGAGGGGCTAATTGTTTTGTAAAGTTCATGTCTAGACACTCACCTTGTAAATTGCCACAGAAGTACTTTCCACTTAGGTTTGGCTCAGCCTTTCTGGGATAGTATCCAGCCTTCTGCCAGCTACTAGCCACATATGGAGGTATATGAACTTGGTCTGATACTTTTCTACTTTTATTATGTATTCTTATACTTAATAATTACCAAACTCTCAAAGGCCCTTAATCTATGTGAGTCATGATCATTGTTTGGTTTTCCCATTTTACCGTTTTCTTGCATGATTCAGTAAATGAACAGGGACAGTTGCCACCTACCAGAAGCCTGGGTTTTCTAAGGAATTTTGTAAAATATCCCTAGACTAGTGCTTGATTTGGCATGACTGATGAAGCATGAAGCAAACAGCTGCTTAATAGGAAGCAAAGCTGGGAGTAGAATGATTTAATTAACTTCTCTGTTGAGCCTTTAATGGAAGCCACAACTTAACTATATGGAGCTCTTTAGTTTCAAATGGAACATTTTTTGCAAAGGAAAACTCTCAGCAAATACCTGATAGACTCCAGTTAACTGACAATAAGTGTGTTAAAAACATCAGCTATCCAGTATAACAAAGACTTAATAAAAACTAGTTTTTTTAAAGGAATGATAAAAACTTTAATGGTGTGCTTGTTTTTAATGTATTGGTTAAATTAACAATTCATAAAATGGATAATGTTGCATGATTCCTACTCAATTTTATAAGAGAACTTTTAGCAACCATTCGTAAAATAAATGCTCATTATATACATTGAATTTTAACAAAAGTAAATGAACAGCCCATGCCCAGCCATCCTCCAGGACCAGCAGGAAACATGCAAACCCCTCCAGGGTAAATTGTCATCACATTTAAGATTATTCATGTTATTCATCTAATCATACAGAGGTTGCCAAAAACATGTATACACATTTTAAGAAAGGAAAACTGTATTAAAAGTATAATACTCAATATATACCAATAAAAAAAGATGAAGATGAGTCACGTTTGACTTCTGCAATGACGAGAGGTGCTCAAAGTGGTTACCAACAGCGTCCAGACACTTCTGATTACAGTGAACTACTTACTGCTTGAGCAACGTTGACCAAAGTGTCCACTTGTATACATTTTTTGGCACCCCCTGTATTTAATGTTAGACTCTCCACTGCATAGCCCCAGATCTCAATTTGCTTGCTTGCTTGCTTTATTTTTCTTTTTCTTTCTTCCTTACTTTCTTTTCTTTCTTTCTTTCTTTCTTTCTTTCTTTCTTTCTTTCTTTCTTTCTTTCTTTCTTTCTTTCTTTCTTTCTCTTCCTTCCTTCCTTCCTTCCTTCCTTTCTATCTATCTATCTATCTATCTATCATCTATCTTATCTATTATTTGACCTTATTTGCTTTTATCTTAGAAAAACATTATTGCTTTTCTATCTCATTTAGAAAATCATAATGATGTTTAATTTATGTTCAAAACTTACTTTTATGTATTATTTGGTTAGTATTAAACTAAAAGACCACAAATTAAAATTTTTAATGCCCAATAAACACATGTTAAATTAAGGAAAAAGTAAATGAGCAATAAAGTTTATGGAATCTCACAGAGAAGAATTGTAATATCAATATTTTTTGCTGAGCACACACACCAGAAAAAAAGAATGAGGAACGAATTTATTACAGACACATGAATTCTTTCAGAAAGGCCCCTGTAGGGGACTGATTCTTAATATGATATCCTGGTTGGAAGGGAATGAAGTGAGGGTGTTGCTTGTGCAGCCATGACTTGGCTCTTTTTCTAGTTAATTGGCTTCAGTAGGTGACCTTATTTCTTCACATTGGGAAGCTGGAAATACCTACTGATTCATTTCCTTTTCATTTGAGGGTCAGCTCTATCAAAGAAAAAGCCATAAAAATGCTGTATTTACTGGATATGAGCAAATGCTTTAGTGTCCTTTTTTGATCTAAATGTTCCTAAGATTTTTAGGAGCTAAACAAAGTTCAGCTCAATGAGACAGAAAACATACTATGAATGTACATGTATGCATATTACTGTTTGCTAACTCTATCCTTAAAACCTGAAACTCTTTTATAAAAATCTTTATTTTGAGATAAAAAGTTATGGAGAAGTTTTGGTCCAAGGATATGTGTGATTGCAGGATATTTTTTTAAAGTTAAATACTAATTTAAACAGTAACAGAACAGTAGTGTGGTTATTTTCCAAGATGATGTTATTCTTCTTACGATTTAAATTTTGTTTTAAATGTTTGTTCCACTGTACAATTGGTTTTTATTATGTAATTATTTTTTTGTTTTTCTATTGCAGATAATGTTAGTTCTATTATTGCTTAATTGTTTCTCAGAAATTATCAAACCAACTCTCTCTTTTTATAAATGAGGAAGTTGAGTTATAGAGAAATCAAGTAATTTGGCCTTAAAAATATTACTAAAAAAATACCTACAGTTACAGCACTTGAAATTCCCTCATAATGTTAAACTCTAAGACTCAGATAATTTTGAATAGCATGATGTTAAATTTATCTCCTGAAATTTGTAATGTTGAGATCTTTAAGATAATATATTTCCCCCTCTTTATGTTAAATATAAATATAAGATATGACAAATAGTTGCTAAAGGCTCAAAATTTTTCTAGTTTCTTTGTATTCATACATTTGTAATAAATGAGTAAAAATATAACCACATACTCTTTTAATATTAAAAAAATTAATTTAGGCTTATCATGAGCAATTTAAAGCAATTTATAGCCCTCATTTCTCTTAACAGGTTGAAGAAATATGGACACCAACACTAAACTGGTCATCAGCACTGTTTTTACCAGCTTTCTCACCTTTCAACTGCTTTTCCACTGTATAAGTTACTGGTTTTCAGCAAAAATTTCTCCCGGTTTTAACAGTCTCAGCTTTGAAAAGAAGATTGAATGGAACTCAAGGTAAAGCTTATAAAAATATAATTGATTTTTTAAAAAGCTAGTTTTATGAAATTAAATTATTTAAAATATCTCCCAAAAGTTTTTCATTTAGGATCTTACAAAATCTAAGATCAAATTTTTTATTTGCCCTTCACAATGAAAGACAAGATAAGTAAATAGATCTTATACAAGAAAAATGTAAAAGATTTTATATTGAAAGATGGTAGGAAACATTTATTCAGCTTTCTTAGGAAGTGTGGGAAGGTTAAGTAGATTCTAGCTGACTGTGGAAGAGTGTTGTTTTTGCATTCTTCTCTGAAATATTTATGATAACAAACACATGTTCATTGGAAATGATAACAGAAGTAAACATTAGTTGGGGCCCTGAGTAGCCTATATATAGCATTGGCTGGCTTAGCCCAACCGGAGCAGTTAAACACCACATAGGAGAGAACACGGTGTACGGTTAGCACATCTGTGTCTCTCTTTTAATGAACTTTTCATTACAATTCAGAGTCCTCCAGAATGTGTTTTTTTATTATGCAATCCTAAAGTAAAAATGGGTTCTTAGTTTTTTAAATTAAAAAATGAATAAGACATGTTATGATATAGAAGACTATGATATTTTTAATTAGCTGGTTTGCACATTTTTTGTGTGTGTGCAACTCCTTAATCCCTCACAAGATTTCAAACACAAAATGACTGTTGACTGCCTTACTGACTTTAGAGCCTTTCAGGTGCCCGAACATCACTGTGCATTTTCAAACCTGAGTGAATCGGAACAGCTATGGGAATCCTTTTTGTTGTTGTTATGTAGTTTAAGTTAATGCTAACTATAAAATGAATTCAGCAGGCCTCTAAAATTGCTATAATCAGCTTCCATTGAAATTTTCTTTTAAAATTAAAGACCTTCTGCCAAAGTACTTATTTGAGCATGGTTATATTTGACCTGAAATCCCCTATCTTTTTTTTTGCACCAAATTGTTTTGCAGGCATCTACTTTTATAATTCAAACTGTGAATAAGACTTTAGTTGTTTTCTTAAGCACCTTATACTGATTTGTCTGGTTCATACATGCTACAGCTCTTTTCATCCCAAAAGTGAGAATTGTTTCTCCATGTATTTTTGAAAAATAAGAGGCATGATTTATCTTAAACATCGCACAAAGATCAAATGTGGGATACTAAAGATACTAAGCATTACTTTTAAAAAACCTTTCTAACATGAAGAAAGATAGACTAGTGGGAAAGAGAAGGAAGGGACATGGAGAAATACATTTTCTGTGGCTAAATTTTGAACTATTTTCACTGTGGTTAGAGGAGGTAAAGGCATTTGAATCTTGAAGAGTTGCAAGCCAAAGAAATAGATAGGGCACAGAGAAACAGGAGCAAAGATGAAAATGAAATGAAATGATGAAACTGAAAAATACTTCGCGTTATTCAGTCTTATCACTGCCATTCTATGGTGCACGGAATCACCATTTGGGAAACTGAGTTCCCATTTGCAAATGGAGTCTGGGATTATATAAGATTCATTGTGCTATTCCAATGGTGTTCTCTCTCTCCTTTTCTGTCTTTCAAATTTACTCCTGTTTCCCACTTCAGCTGGGTTTACATGGGACTTAAGCTGTGAGGCGGTGAGTGCAAAGAAGGAAAAAAAAAACAACTGGCTGCTTTTTGAGCAAAGTACACATATATGTCTTGATATCCAGCCTCCACTCTTGAAACAGATTAACATAACGCATATAATTCTTCCTAGCAATCAGCAAGGTCTGAATAATGAGTGGTCCAAGTCATCTAGTAGAAAAAGGACAGGAAGAAAAAGCTCACTAGAAAATTCACACCTGAGAGATAACAGTTTAATTAATTATAAGTGAGACATTGCTATACTTAATGGTTCCTTTTCTGAAAGCATACATACTTATAGGTATTATTTATATCATAATTAAAATTTTTTTCTTGTGTCTACTTGCTTTCCTATGGTATAGAAAGTCCTAGTGTGTTGAAATACTCTTAATTTTTAAATCAACTTCTCCAAAATTGAACTGTTTGAACTATGTAATTTCTGTTAGCAATACTCATACTACTTGTGAATGATTAAATCAGCAACTTTAAATTGCTATTCTAAAATGGTCATTATTTCCTTAAAAATAAAGCACCATCTTTTTATAAGCACAGACATTTCTTTTTAGCCCTCTTTTGGAAAAAAAGTTGAAGTATTTTATCTCGAGTAGCATCATGGTTTTCCTTTTTAGACACTAAGGAATCTATATTTTGCTTTGTCAGGAACCTGATTTTAAAGACTGAAAGATGGAGTTTTTACTAACAGAAGTTTCTAAACAAATAGACTTTTAATATAGAGTGGTATGTAAGCACAGGGTGTTCGCTTCTGTTCATTATAGTGGTAGCTATCTGATCCAAGTATATTTAACTTTTCTCTCATGAATTACATGCCATTTCCATAACTGAGGGCTTGCAATTCTTCCCATTAACAATATAACATCTCAACAGAGAAGGGAATTTGAGGCCTGAGCATCAGGAACAAAAATTTAGTTTTTTTCCAAAAGGAAACTTTTTGATGTAACATTACTGAGCACTAAAAGGGGTTTGTGAGAGGTTATGTTTGTTTCCTTTCATAGAGTTTTTTAATGGCAACACAAAGCTGGTTGTATGATTATTTAGATGGAGCATTTTATTTGACATGAGAGATCCTGCGCTTTTATCCCATATGTATTCAAATGAGATACAGGGGTGCTTGGCATGAAAATTCCAGGTGTATAAACCAGATAAATTGGGTAAATTATTCACACTTCAAAATGATCTTTTTGTATTACAAAGGATTCTTTGTCGATGCCTTTAAATTAGTGTGAATCTTTGATCATTTAAAATATGATTTGATTGAACTTGACATAGCTATTTAGAACCACATTATCTATTAGATCAAATATACTGATATTTCAAGTTACAATAATAAGATTTTCTAATATCAAGCTTTATATTAGTTGATATATTTCACTTACTTTTAAATATTTGGTGTCATATTGTAGAGAGAAATTCATTGACACCATTAATTTCTAAAGAGAAAACTTGCTATACCTTTATTTTAATAAGAGAAAAGAAAGTTAATTACTTGTATACTTTTTTGTGTGTGAGTAAATGTAGAGTATCCTTTATACAGTTCTTTACGTCATGTCACAGAGCTTGGATGTTAAGTTATTAACAAGATATGCTCATAGAAACTGATAGTTTTCATCTAAATCTTATTCCTTCCATAAAAGAAAATCTGACCTGGATATTGTAAACTGTTTGCTTTCATTTGGGCGTTTCTTTTAAAAACAGATTTTCTGTGTGATGCTGTTTGGGGCGGGAGTTCCATCCAAGCAGGATGCAGGGTAGTGGGCTTACCAGGTGCCATCTGTTTGCACAAAACTCAACTGCATCATGAGATATGCTTCTGCTTTAGAATTTTAAACCAATAAGTAATTCACCAATTTTCTAGCAGGAAATTGTAGACTTGGGTATTTTTCTTGTTAGTAATTCCAAAGTAAACTTCTGGCCCTTGGATTTCTAGATGACAATTTCATGTTATACGTACTCTGAGATGTGCTCTATTCCTATATTTAAATGCTTCCAGATTTAACTTCTTCACAATGTTAAATGTTTTGCCAGAATTAAAGTTTATTGTAAAGAATCTGAAATCCTTGTGTGCATTTCATTTCATTTCAGGGTAGGATCTACGTGCCATTCTTTGGTAGTGGGGTTTTTGGGCCTGTACATTTTCTTGTTTGATGAGGCTACAATTGCTGATCCGCTTTGGTAAGCTGTTTCTTTCCAATGTATTCAATTTGATTTGCATTTTGATATTAATTATTAATAAGAACATCACTTTAAAACAGCAAACATTGATGGTGTATGGTTTATTGAAATGCTTGTGTTCAGACTTATTTCAGCAAGGTACGTTAAAATGATTTTAGATTTGAATACAAATAATGAGGATTGTTTTGCCTTAGTATCGCCATTGTTATCCATAGCAGGGAAAATATGATGATGTAAACATTTCTACTGTGTTACTGAGTAAAACCAAGTTATGGTAACCACTGTTCTGAGAAAAATGAGTTATTATTGAGGTATGATAGTCAACTTGGATAACTTAAGACTTAGTCTTCAAATTTATGTTTGACCCATCATTTGATATCAAAGATATGAAAATGAGACTTATAGATGTCCATGTAAGAGAAATTTAGTACCACATAAGATTTGAAGTACTAATAATAACCGTGTTCATCAATCATAGGCTAATTTGTAAGATGGTTCTTTCTGAAAAATTTAAATGTGATTCCAATGGCAGAAATTTTACAAACTATATTTCCTGCGTTCATCTTAGTTTGAGAAATGAGGTATATTTTGAGAAAGTGCTGCATGGGGATGTGGGGCAATTTAACCAGGCCTGTTGACTATCTGTGTTTGACTGCAGTGATGTTTTTCATTCATAAATATGGATTAATGCCCATCAGAATTATATCAGTATTGATCAGTTTTCATTGGGAAGATATTTTTCAAAATGAATCCATTTAGTGAACTTAATTCTTTGACCAGGTTTTTATATAATGTACCCAAACAATTTCTAGCTTTGTTCTTTTCATATTTTTATTTTACTAACATGATTATTAACAGAACCAGGTCTTTTGGAAAGTAAATTTTATAACAAAGATTTGTCTCATTAGTCAGTTTTTGTCCATATCAAACTTTTACCTATTATACTTTTTGATATGTTTACTTTTTCTTTGATGCCATAATTTATTCCAGGTCCAATTTTCCAGGATCATATTTGTAGATCAGAATTTGTAAAGAAGACATGACTTCTGCTGAGTATTTGCATTTGTAATTTAGCTGTTATCAGTTTTATTTTCTGTTCATTTCACCAGTAGTTCACATCATAAATCAGATGGTAAAGGACTGATAATTTGTATTTGTTTCTTGGTGTGAAGAGCATTAGTAGGGCTAAAGTGTAGGATCTTGATTTGTGGAGGGGTCAAAACATCAGGATTAAGCTGTCCTGCTCCAGCCATGTACTGATGTGTGAAAACAGGCAAGTCACTCCAGTATGCAGTTGAGTGATGATGATAACAGTATACTGCCTCAAATTATTTGAGTCACTGATTCAGGATAAGGAATAAAAAAAAAAATCAGCATCTGGAATTGTTTTTGAATTCTTTCACAAACAAATCACATGAGAACCCATTTTTAAAAAGTTGTCTTTTGATAAAACTATTTTCCTAAAACTTTTAGCTAATTAATATAAGAGATTATTATTCATGCAGTTTTAAGTTCAAGTATTATTATAGCTAACACAGTACCTTGTGCAAATGACAACTTACCATTTGAGAATCTATGGAAAGCATTCTGATTATATTTAAATCTCAATAGAAAAAAAGTAGCTGTCGTCTATAACCTATGTGTTAAAAAATGTACTTTTTGTTTTTTTAAATATTTATAGGGGTGATTCATCGCTTGTAAAAGTGAATATTTCTATTTCTTCAGGCTACCTCGTTTCTGGTATGTGATATGTTGTTCACTGTTTCTAAGTTACTCATGGAATTATGCAAGGAATATATAGTCTATGCTTTTGGTTTATTTATTTGAGAAGCAGCTTTTAGGACCCATACAGTGGGGGAAAAAAATGCTGGCTCTGATGGTAGAACATGAAATGTTTTCCTGTTGGCTCTCTGGTTCTTATTGAAGATCAGAGCTGCAGGGTGGGGCTTCGGTTAGGCCTGGACAGTTTTTACTAGCAATGGTCCCTTTTGGCCTAAAGAGCCTCTCAGGTGGAATTACTGTGACGCTAATGAAGTTTAAGCCTCAAGGGACCTTTAAATATGTTCTTATGGCCGTAGTTTTGTATTGTTTTGGTAAAATTTGCAGAAGTAAACTATTTTAGCTATAATTAATTAAGATCACAGACTCTTTCTTCTCCACATTTCCCTCTGTCATATTTCCTCTTATGTTGGCTAGGATTGGAATAGCCTTTGATACAACTGGACAAAGGGGAAGTTAAGTTGAGCATGTGCCATTTACACTGCTTTTTGAAAAGATATTTTGGACTGTCTTCATAAAACAAGAGAAAAATAACAGATCCCTGATTTGGGCATTTATATAGGGAGACCTGTTTTATAATTTTAAAATTTAATAAATAGCTGAAAGGAAATCCAAATAAAAATAATGGAATATGAAGCAAAAGTGATAAAGATGGGTAATGGACTCAATCGAAAGTTTTCTGCTATCAAGAAGTGATCAAAAAATTAAATTATACCAAAACATGTAATTCTTTAGGAGGAAGAGATAAATTTGAAGAGAAATAATGAATAGGCTATTGGATTATCTGATGGCCCAATTAAAAGAAGAGTGAATCATGTGAACACGTTGGAAAAAAATTTGCCTGTTTGGCACATAATGCTGTCATTGACAAGGATAACACAAAATTTATAATATGCCTCAAACACTGGTTAATGAGTATTGTCAATTCAGAGAGTCATCACTACCCAGGAAATTTTGTATGAAAGAAACTTGGTAAAGGTTTCCCCAAATAATATAACAATCCAAAACACTTAAAAATGAGAGTTCTGAACTGAAACAAACTTTTCTAAACTAAGCTGAATGAAAAGTGAATTCTGTTTAGTCTCTCTTTGGAAAGTATTACAAGATCATTATCATATAAATCGGTGACTAAAAAGTGCACAGCTAAAATGTGTAGAGAAAATGTATCTAATAGGTGTACCAGGCATTTAATTACTAATAGCGTTATATTTTCAATTCTTTTTTAACTTTGTTGGGGAACAGTGTGTTTTCCCAGGACCCATCAGTTCCAAGTCAAGTTTTGTCCTTCACTTTTAGTTGTGGAGGGCGCAGTTCAGTTCCAAGTCCAGTTGGCCATTTTCAATCTAGTTGTGGGGGGCACAGCCCACCATCCCATGTGGGAGTCAAACCCGAAACCTTGTTGTTAAGAGCACGCACTCTAACCAACTGAGCCATCTGGCCATGCGTGTTATATTTTCTTGATTTCCACATCTGTGCTATTTATTTTCTCTTTAAAATATGTAATCTGATGATTTCTTTTCTCTTTATAAATATTCACATCTAGTTTTATACTAGTAATTTTTAATTTTTATTAAAGAAGGTTTCTATACTTTATAATCTCCAACCTCATAAAACCTCAATCTTCCCCTGGTTTCCATCCATGATTGTCATTAGTTTCCATGTCTAAATTTCATATTTAACCATTGGGTAAAGAAAATAGTTGTGTTAACATTTTGAAAAGTTTCTGTTTCGTTAAATGAAATTATTTTCTTAATAATGATGTTCAGATTCAGAATCTTTTAAAGAAAATTGATGCCTTGACCTCTTTCTTTGGTGTATCTTTTTAATAGTCATTGTTCTTATTGGCTTTTGTGATTTTGAATTAATATTTAATCACATCCTTTGTTAATTTTAAAATATTTTTTGTTGAATTTGTGTTACAATTGAGTTGATCATTATTTACCTTTTCTGTGAATTAGTGTAGTGATGGAAATCAGTAATTTACACTTATTTTAAAATTATTTTTATTCAGTAATAGTTTCACTTTATTTAACCCTGGAAACATGTTATTCATTTTCCTTTCAACAAATTTATTACGTAGCTATATGCCAGGCACTGTGCGAGATGACCACACTTGGTCCTCATCCTGGAGGAGTTATGGTAGGGTGGGGGAGACAGTTATACAGAAGCTGATACTTTATGATGAAGTGGGTAATTGGACAACTGAGGTATAAACAAAGTGCTGTGGGCTCAGAGTGGACTGTAACAAATTGTCAGGAGAGAGAGTTAAATACACGTAAAAAACAATGCAGTTTTCTTTCTGTGTAATAGCTTACGTATTTTTCTTTCTTACAGATTTGTTCATAATCATTTTGTATTGGAAAGTGATTGGTGACAAATATTTTATAATTCACCATTGCACAGCGCTGTATGCCTACTTTTTGTTACTGGTGAGTGCTGGGATTTACAACAGCCCAACAAGCAGACAAGATTGGGAGAGGAATGACTTAAGGATTGACATAAATCTAAACATAAAATTCTTAATTTATACAGATTAACTGAAAATACATTCAGAGTCCTTCTCATGATATGCTATCTTATTTATGAACAAAAGTAATAATTTAACTTGGGTGTCTGTTTTAGTGTGTCTATTTGGATTCATACACTTTGGGAAAGGCAGATGACCCCAATTTCTTGAATTTTCACTTAAAACCTTTAGGACCCTGTAACTGTTGATATTTGTCTGTCTTTCTGGATCATTTATAATTGAATCCATGTCTAGCCAGACTAGGTATAGACTCCTGTATATCCAGGTAAAATATTTCTCTTATGTTCAATTCCATGTATAATTCCATGTACATGCATAATTACACTTAGGTATGGGAGCAGTGTGGGAGTTTGCTCAGAGACTTCATCAGAATTTCACAACTGAGCTAACACAGGATACTCACATCAGTCAGTACTGCATATTAAATTTTATATCTAAAATTACTTTTTACATATTATACATTTGTAAATTAGCAATTTTATATCCCATGCATGTTTGTTAGGTTTCACAATGAATTATTTTTCAATCTAGATATACCAACAAGCCCTAGATATTTAGAAATAATTGATATATGTAAACAAGGATAGTATAAATTTTATGTAACAGATATGGTATACCATTTCATGTTTTCTCTCTTTTAAAACTTTTTTTCTTTGTTGGTATTACTAAAATCCTTATATCACCGGACATTTGGGACTATATGGAGGATTTTTAAAAAATTCATATAAATGTGTATTAATAATATCCTTTTATTTTTCTTATATTGACTCACACAAAGATACCTGGTGAATAAGACATGAATTTGGTACTATTTCTGCAAGAATCAGATATGTCAAAGCATCTGTCTGTATCACTCATTTGAAGTCATAAATCTAAATAACACAATATGTTTTAAAAACTATGCTGGTTTTAATGTTATAAATAAATGCTCATGTATCCTGAAAGTTATCTATAATCATTTTATTTTTCTGAAGCAATAGGCTATTTTTACTGGCATTTCCTACTGTTTATGTCTTTGGTCTTTTTTGTATTTTAATAGAGTACAGGTAGGTAGTTATAAAATACAGACTTCTACTTTTTATACTATGTCTTCAATATTTGGTATACAAGCACTTTGTTTCCTAAAACTTTTGCTAAAAAGACATGGAAACTGGCTAACAAAATACTGGCTAACTCTGGGAAGAATGTGTGTGAGTACCCATGTGAGTTTAACATCACGCTGCAGTTTTGAAATATGTTCTCTGAACAGGAGTCACAAATAATCATTGCGCTATGAAAAGAATACAAGCTAGTGAAAGATAACAGGTCACTTGCATGCGTTTGTAAATATGTCATCACCTGCTCTTTGCTCCTGGCCACCGAAATCACAGGCTTGGCAAGTGGCTGGCAGTGCATGGATGGGCAAGCTGAATATTTAATCACGTGGGATGAATACTATTTTCTCTTTGGACTTTTATGCCTTTATAAATGAATCAATAACCACATGCTGGGTTTTTAAAAAAGAAATGATTTGTTGCCTTATTTCATAAAGTTGACAAGAAAAGTAACTCCAATTTTTTTCTAGAGATGGTTGCTTTTTTGATATGTCTTCATTTTATGAAATAAATGAATGGTATTAAATAAATTTATGTAATTAAAGTGAATCTGTTCACAGGGAAACAAAATAGAAAAAAATTATGAAATAATAACTGTTTATAGGTATAGCGATCCTGTTTCATTTATAGATCTTACATTTACTCTGTATAAGAAGCATTTTTTTCCATGCAGTGAATTCCTCGGCCACTTTGTGCATTTTAAATAAGGCTAACAAAATGATAATAATAACAACATCAACAACTACTACAATTATTATTTTATATAAACTTTCATGATTCTTATCATTTATATAATAAAAACCGATATTTGGAAAGCACTTTGACTTGATACTTGTGCAACTATTTAAGTTGTTTGTAGTAAGCTTTTTTCCTTAAAAGATTTTCTAATTGGAGCCAAATAAGACTTAAAATGAAGAATAGAGGCAAGTCACCTGTGGGTTTTAAACGTATGCTTGAACCTTTAGGATCATGTAGTTGAAAAGTTGAAAAGTAAGATTCTTTAGAATTTAGGGTATTATAGAGTATAACAGATTATCAATACCTTGCCCCGATAACATGCCACATATGCTAAAAAGAAGCTGTTTTCAAATTTAGACTATATTAGGGAAGGTACAATAGCAAACAAAATTACGATTTTCCTGGTTAGACTGTATCCAAGATCATCATCATCTGAAGTCCCTAAACTTGCCTGTGCTGGCAGAGGGACTGCCAGCTAACTGTGGAGGGGAGATTAGATTAGGTAACTATGGTCCTACAACAAACAAACAATTGAAGGACCCACAGAGGTCAGCCTAGAAAAGATAAGTTGATGTGATGGCTTTGAAATGTCCTTGGAAATGTGGAAGTACTGTTAAGTGGAAGAGAGAGTAGACTTATTTTGGATTAATTGAGATGGAGCGAGGACCAATGGGATGGTAAAGAGAGGTAGGGGAGACTCCGTTTTACAGAAAAGACATCCCCAGTGGATAGAAGATTGTAACAATGGCCTTTTAAGTGGTTCTCCTACCCTAAGATATCTTCAATCAGATAGATATAAAAATAGATATAAAAAGTAGACATTTTGAGTAGGAGCTTGCACTACATCATCTTTAAAGTTATGAGATTCTGTGATTCAACTGTTGTGTTGAAATAATTTGATTTAGTTCTAATCCTGGAGAGCTAGGCAATGAGCAAGTGAGAAAAAGCCAAGTTATGTCACCAACTTCTTAAGTAACTGGGAAGAAGGGGTGAAAGCAGCTGGACTGCAAATCCCTTCACTTCTTTGGGAGAAGGGAGGGGAAGGAGACAAGTGACTCTGGTCTAGTCTCCTTGTCAACGGGACTTTTAGGTCAACAGCGTACTGGCATTTGTTAGGAGGAAGAGCTCTTACTCTAACATTCCCTTAGGATGTCCCTGGCTAACGATTCCCTATAATAAGGAGAACCCAGGATATCTCAGGCCTGGCTCCTTGGAGAATGGCATGCAGGCTGTACAATTTTCTGGGGGTATCAAATGGAGATGTTTTGTAAGTTACCCTCTCATGCTGTGTGAGGAAGCTTGTGAACCTCACTTAGTAGAGCCTTCATATCTTCTGTGCCAGAGCCCCTCGTTCAACACAGGAAGGACCTGGCGTGCCAATTGCCCTTGATGTCCCAGACCTCTCTGCTTCTTCTGAATTATTTGATAGCCTCTATCCTTGTAACATTTAGTAAAGCTTAATACTAGGTGAGTAAGATCACTGTTTCCCATCAGTCTGATTTGGTAATCTAATCCTGTGTGTTAGCTCAAGCCTCAACTCTTGTCATGTAAGTAAGTAGTCATAAACCCTGAATGATTAAAGTTAAGCAAATAGTTTTTAAATGTAGGGTGGATTTTGTTCCCAAATCTCGTTTCTAGATTGATGGTACTCTGAAAGGGTTTCCCATGGACACAATCTAAGGCTCTGGGTCAGTCTAAATAACCCATAAAAAAGAACACAGTCACATTGTTATACAAGATTCCCATTTGGGAGGTCCAGAACTTCTCTCAGACCAATCATACGGGCCTAGCAGTGGGAAGGGCTGCCCATCTCACTCCAAGCCATCGGTGGTGACAGCATTTAGCACCATGCTAGCAGTAGCAGGTGCATACTAATGTTAGTTATCTTTCTCCCATATCTTCTAAATCTCTGATCTTAGTCATTCTCAACTGTTAGAAAATTAAGTTTTCCATGGTACGAAAATCCAGATTTTCATAATCCCTGGCTAAAAGGAGAATTTTCTTTTACGCTCTGGAAGAGATCAGACAAATCCAATTTTGTTTTTCCTCACAGAGTCATGCAAAGGCCATGGCAAGTAGGAATTTTACTCTAGGCAAAGCTCCCTTGTAGATGGCAGAAGTGGAAACACATATTGACCAGAAGTGAGCTGTGAGTTTTACTAACAGTAAAATTTACTAACAGTAAAATGTCAAAAATTGTAATTTATTTTAAAATATTAGAGCAGACTTAAATCTATCTTTTAATAGCACCTCTGTCACTGATATTTCAGGAGGTTTTCTTGAGTAGGTGGGAGATAAGGTAATGAGGAATTAGACATAGCATGAAGCTTATTGAATGGCTGGCTACCTGTGCCCTTAGAAGTATGGGCCACACATGATGCTCACTCTCATGAGTGTATTAAATTAAACAGGTGGAGAGTCATTGATGTACAGAAAGCAAGACTATGCAGCTAAGTTCTATACTCCTGCACAGCTCACAGTGGTTTTGTACTATGGAGGTGGGGGTAAAGGGCAAGGATATGATAGAACCTATGGGGTCCGATTAGAGAGTTGAGATTTAAATACAGGAAATTATTTTTAAAAGTCAGGCACTATATCACCCAGTGATAAATCAGTAATGTGTAGCAGTTTGGGGAATGAAAAGATGAGTGTGTTAATTTGTATTATTTTTTTTTGGTCTGAATATGAATGTAAAAAAAACTTCTGAGTTTGTAGAAATATAGGGCTTTGTAAGTATAATGTTTTCTAGGTTTGATTCTCCAGAGGTAACTGCTGACAATACTTGATGTATATTCCTGGAATTTCTGTGCAATTACTAATGGCTACTTGCAGAATTCCTTAGTTCAGCATGACACAATTGCTTAAAATCTGTTTTTATAAGTGAATAGTATATGCATAAGTGAACATAAGTGTACAATGTACTTTTGTCTTTTAAAAATATTGTAGAATTCTAGTGACATATCTAAA